CGCGGCCGCCCGAGCGGGGGCGGCCGGCTCTAACGTCCCGGCCGTGAGCTCAAGCTGTTTCCTGAGAAAGCGCGTTTTTCACTCGAGGTCTTCCCAGGAGCCCGAGAGGGTGATTAAGGCGATGAATAAGGGAGGTGCACGAGCATCTGGCCCCATGGATGGGAGCATATGATCATGAGCTGTTCAGGAGACAAGAGATATGGCCAAAAAAGGCTTTGCCTGGCTCTCCCGCCTGTGACCGGGCAACGTCATATCAAATTATGATAAGAGCTTCGTTTCCGAAAAAGAATAGGGGAACCTGCCGGACGGTGACTTGCTCGTCTGAGTCAAAACTCAAGTTGCCTCACGGTCAGTAGGACCTAGCTCAGGTCTGCTGAGAGCGACCGTCTTTCATTTTCCACGGCACGGACCGGCCCGCGCGCCACCTCGAGCCCCGGTGCGTGACACCCGGGGACCGCCGGAGATCACCGGTTTCCGGCGCATCCCATGGTGACACTTGACCAAGAAACAAAGGAGGAAATTGTGAAAGGGACCCAGATAAGCAGCTGCTTTGAGAAACCGCTTGAGCTGGGCTGGGGAAAGCCCCCGCGAGGTGGTTCTCAGGGGCATCACCGGAGTGGGCCGAGGGGAGGGTGACCCTCACGTGTTGTCGGGCCTGCCATCAGCCCGACATCCCTTGGGCCCGACTTATCCTTGGGGGCAGGAGGCGCTAGGTAAAAGCTGATTGGAAAAAAGTGCAGGACTGGCAGGGGGAGATGGGAGGAGGAATATGAACATGGAGACCTTTTAGCCCAAATCCCAACTCTTTCCAGCTGGAAATGCCACTACGGTGTTTCGTGGGAGTCCTAGTTCCCATTGGTTTCCGTGCCCGCATTTCCATCCATCAGACGGGGTCTCCAGCGTGTCCCTACGCTCTCCCATCCTGAGGTGGCCATGCGTCCTGGCTCAGGACGGGAGCCGGAAGCCAGGTCGAAACATGGGCCAGAAGTTGCCCAATGCCATTTCCGTTACTGGGAACATGTGGCAGCTGAATGGACAAAAATGACTGCTTTTCCTTGAAAGGCAAGTATTTTCTGCCAGAAAATAGCATTCCATGAAGAAATACCGAGTACAGAAAATGTTTAACCTTCCCTATTGTTTGACTTCCAGGAAATTTGGCTGGAGAATAAAAACAGTTGGTTCTCCCATTTTTTTTCCAGACCCATGCACTTTCTCCTGGACACTAGGAGAGAAGCATGCTCAGATGCCGGGAGTATCCACGACCATTCGCCAACCTACAAGGCAGCTGAACAACATCCGAAAAACATTTTGCGTAAGCATCTGGAGAAGTGTCTCCAAATCACTGAAAACTTGGATACTTGTGCTTTTTTTTTTTTTTTTGGCACATTTCCGTGTCTCTTGCTATCGGCAAGCAGCATCATGAGGATGAATCCAACAGAAATGATGCCTTTTCCTCCCAGGCTGAAAGATGTCCGATGGATGTAGCTCAGGCTGAAGAAAAGGTGAAGGAAAAGCAAAGCTGGGCGATTCCCCGACAATTTTGAAAATAATAGTTCCCTGTGAGTTTCCTTGTTTGCAGGGGCTCAACTAGCCAGCAGGGCTGGGGAAGGGGGTTTAGGATGTGATATCTTCACCAACTTCAGCCTCAACGTTTTCAGTGGTTGAAGAAGTCCACGTGTCTCCTGCTGTCCCACAGCATCCGCTTGGCAGGTGGGCGCCATGGGAAAAGGGGATCCATCGCCCCAGCCCGGCACAGGGACCTGCGGAGGAGCCCTTGCGAGCAGCGACGGGCTCGGGGGAGCTGGACTTGTGCCGTGGGACAAGGACGGGACCGTGCTGCTAATGCCGAGCTTGACGACCTGCCAAGCGGGAGCACCGGACGGAAAAGCCCCGCATCCCTCATGGAGGAGAAACACAGCAAAGCGGAGCCTGCCCGTCCGGCCGGTGCCGCTATCTTATCTCCGGGACATGCAGCGATCCCGGAGCAGAGGTGGCTCGCGGGAGAGGTTAGAGCAGCGAGTGATACGGCGACGCTGGGGCCGGTGGAGCATGACACCTCCCCGGGCTTCTCCGGTTGGGGTGGAGCCCCTGTGGGGGAGGCACCCTGGC